CTATTTCACTTTGCTTTTCTTTTAACTAAAACCAGTTTATTTTGATTGCAAAAGAGAAAGTTATGATATGGAGGAAGCACAAATGGTACAGAGGAGTGCCCTATGTGGAATCCCAAATCCCTGCTGTAACAATATTCTGCATATTTTTTGAGGATTTTTCTGGAAGTATATGTGCTTACATTGTTATATCCTTTAAGAGCATTCACAAAGGGGATTATACTCTGAATACTATTCTGCATCTTTCAGTTTTTGCTTCATTTACCTTGGACTTCCTCCCAAATCCAGACCTTAATTCTTCCTCATTCATTTTAATAGCTATGTAGGATTCTGCTGAATACATGTCCCTTAATTTATTCACCCTGCCGAGATGTAAGGGGGAAAGCACCTTTAAAAAAAAATGACCCAAGAAACATCTTCCCGAAGTATTACAATTACAACATATCGGTTCACACAAAGTAAAAAAAAAAAAAAATCACTCCTAATTCCTCTATCCAGAGCAATCCTATTCTATTATTTTTTCCCCTAGGAGTGTATTTTTACAAATTGTCCATCTATCTTCTTTGTTGTTCTGAAAGTGAAGTCATACTGTACATAATGTTTTGCAGGCTGCATTTTTCAGTTGGCTTGATTGTTTGAAAATAAAAGCAATTTCCCATTCTAGCCTCTCTCAATGCTGCAGGTTTATCTTCTTAAAGAACAAATACGTGTTCAAAGCTGTTGGCTGGCTGGGCCTCACTGTGTGGGTTGGAGCTCCTTGCCCTGCTGGAGGTCCCCGGCTGCCTCTCTTACCCAGTAGGCCACACTTCTCTGCTCTGTCCTGGTGCCCTTTTTGTCAATATACTGAATGTCTCAAACACTTTTTTGTTCTAATGGCATCCATTGCCCCTGAGCCTTCTAGCTCTGAAACCACAATCCACCTGTCTTTCCAGACTAGGCTCAAACGTCACCTTTGTCTTGATTTCCTGCACTCCCTGGGCCAAGCTAACTGTCACTCCTTGGTGCCCTGGAAACACCATACATTCCACCATTGGAGCATTTTACGCAGGGTGCTGAGAGCCTCAGTTTGCCTTTGAGGTCAGAGCTGCCTCTTTCATTTATACTCCAACACCTAAATCTTTCCACAGGGTAGGCGAAAAATATATGGGGACCATCGTTATTACCATTGTTACTGCAATGTTTGTTGCAATGCGTGAATGAAGATGAGAGGAGGTTGTGGATGCTGAGCCTGCAAAGTCCTGATTAAATCTGGGGAAAATTGATGCTGTGATTAATTTTATGGTGGAAGAAAAGCTGAAAGGAGAAATTATTTCTGGAAAAGTTGTCAAGACACACTAAAGTTTGCTTCTGATAGCTCCTCTAGTCTCCTCAATGTGCCTCTGGCTGATAAACTCGATGTGTGATCTGAGGGGTAATTTTTCAGAGATCACCACCTTTTTCTATCATGCTTTCTTATGCCAAGCTGTTTCCTTTTGGTCTCCAAAGAAGCAAAGCTGCTTCCTGCAGCTTTAGGGTTCAGAGAAACTATCCTGAAGGCTGTGGTTTCAATTCAAAGGAGGATGTTAATCTTTGTGCGTATTTATTTTCATTCCTAAACCACTGGCCTGAGGAGAAGGCCTGGCTCACTGCCTCTGGTTGGGTTCTCTGGAGCAGCTGCCGAGACAGATTTGGGGGTGGAGATGTTTATTAGGGGTTGCCATCTGTGAAAGGGGGAGAGACTAAGATTGGGCTCAAAGAGAAGTCCAGCCCCAGGACACCCTGGCAGACCCAGCAGGGTGCACTAGAGTGAGTGGTACCCATCAGAGCCCCTTTGCCCCCACTTAAGTCCTCGGGTGCACTTCCCCGGGGAAGTCATCACTTCGCCCAGATGGCCTGAAGGAGCTGGTCGCTGGAGGCTGTCGTCTGACCTCACTCCCCTCACTGGGCAGCAAGTCAGTCCTTAATGGGAATCCGGGTGGTGATGTCTCCCTATCCACCATACTCTCTGTATCCAGGCAACTGCCAGGACCCTGTCATTTCTTGTTTGGCAAAATCTCTCATCTTCCTCTGTTTCTGGATCTCACTTGCCTATTCCTCAACAAAGGCCCTCATCTTTTCTCTTCAGTTCCTGAAATAGCTTCACAGTGGTTCTCCCTAACCCCAAGCTGTCTCTGCTACCATGCTGCCAGAGAGATCCCCCACTTTGCTAAGTGCCAGAGAGATCTGTAAAAATATCCAAATCCAGTCACCTCACTTGTTGGCTTAATGCTCCTTCAGAGCCTCACAGTGGTCTTGGTGAATAAATTCAAACTCCTTAGTCTGGAGGACAATACATACTCTATCCCCGCTTCCCTCTCCAAACTTATCTGTCCCCTCCATCCCCAGCCTACTCCAGGTCCTACCCCAACCTATATTCCAGTTTACTCAGCCCTTTTGGCAGTCTCCAGTATTTCTTGGCCTTTGTTCAAAATGCTACCTGTGGTCCTCCAGTGTATGACTTGAACCCAGATCTCCTGGTTGCAAGCCCAGGGTTTTAGGCACCACAGCAGCCAAGGCTTCTCTCTAAATTACTGTCCAGAAGACTTGGCAGAATACTCCACCCTGCTTATTCTCCTTCTGTCCGGACCCTATTTTTATGTAAATTATGTCCCTTATATTTGTGAGGATTGGGGATAAAGGTGGAACAGAGTTCTCATTCTGACCTTCCTGTGAAAATTAACTCTTTAAAAAGAAAATCTGAATGGAGTGAGCATAATTTACAAATGGTGCTACTTTTCAAACATGCATAATGGGTGGTCTCTAAAGACTCCTCTTGTTGACTTCATTCACTTAAAAAAAAACATAAAAAACCCTGCTGTACCAAAACAATATAATTTGTAAGAACACAGATTTGGTATCAGAGTGGAAGCCATGGCCTGAGCTCCTACACGTCTGCTGTGTAACTGGGGAATCTACTTTCCCCCTATAAACCTGACTTTCCCATCCATCTATGCAATGGGGACAGTAATAACCCTTTACATAAGGTTATTGTGACAATGAAGTGCGAAAATGCATATGTCCTTAGCAGAGTTTCTGGCACTGAAATAAGTGCTCAGTAAATGGGAATGTGGTTTATTCCATACTAGATATAATTCAGGTAGTGTCCAGAATAAAACTGCCCAGCTTGGGCTCTGCTGTCCTCCAGGTTGCTGCTGGCCTGGGCATTAAGGCAGACTAGGGGTTCTCCTTGCTCTTCACTCCAATATTTGAGCATCTTGACCTTATCCCATAGACCAGCACTGTCCAGTAAACATATAATTTGAGGCATATATATAATTTTAAAATTTCCAGTAACCACTTTAAAGTAAAAAGAACTAGGTAAAGTTAATTTTCATGTATCTCATTTAATGTAGCATATCCTAAATATCACTTTAACGTATATTTGATGTAAAAAACTGTTAGAGGTATTTTACATTCATTTCTCCATTTGAAGTCTTTTGACATCCAGTGTGTATTTTCCTTTAGTACATCTCAATTCAACACTAAATTTTCATTGTAAATACTTGAGTTAGGTTTCTTAGATTAATGTTAAAAAAGTGGATTTTCACACCCAAGGTGTTCCAAACATATTTAAAAGTTTTTCAGTATTTGAATTGAGTATCAGTTTTTAAATTTAAATGAAATTAAGTAAAAAACTTTGCTCCTTAGTCACTCCAGTCACATTTCAAATGCCCAGGCCCCATGTGCCTAGTGGCTACCATGTTGGATAATGAAGCTCTAGAAGCCACGGCAGTGGTTTCAATCTTCTTCTGCTTCCTTTTCTTAGCTAATTTTTTTCAAATTCAATTATACAACGAAGCTCATTCCCTAAACTGGATAAAAATGGGATTGTGAATGTTCTTTGTTCTCATTTAGAGGAAGCTGGTGAGCCATTCACCCTCTGTCTCTCTCTAACACACCTCCTCACCTCCATCCCCGGAAGTCCTGAAATACCTCTGCCTATGTCTCAAGCTCTACAGAATAATTAACAAGTGGTAGGTATTTTAGCAACAAGCAAAGTGCTGACCACACATTCAGATTCTTAGAATCTTGGAACTCACAAGCATCTTGGCATATATATGCGTGCACCCCCAACCCCTCTTTGCAGTACAGAAATATGCATTATAAATTCCTTGGTGCAGGGATAGGGGGTTAGGGGGAGCACTCGGCTCTGTTAAACACCTGGGAGCAGATGGATCACTTCATTCTGTTGTGACTTACATGGCTCTCTGTGTCCTGATCTCATCTCCCTAACTAGGTTGGGGGCAAGGACTGCCTTTTACAATGCCACAGCGCCCACACAAAGCAACACCATCAATAAATTCTTCACTGAAGGCCTGACCGACGGCAGGAATTCAAGGTCACTTGAAATATCAGGGTCAGTGCATTGCACAACTCCAAAGAACACCATTCAAATTGTATTCTGTGGTTGTGCAAGTAGCAGCCTTGTAAAGTTTGTAAGGTTTAGTCAGGGCTTTCTTTTCCAGCTGAAAAACTTGTGAGAAATTCTTTATTGGAACAAAGTAATTCTCCTCATCCTCTTATGGGAAGCAAATGTTCAAGTAAATTTTTTCAGCTTCCTTAGGAATATATGTTAATCTGGGAGCATGTATGGATGTGAACTTTGTGTATGTGTGTAAAGTGTTCTAGTAGAGCTGCTGTGTTAAGAAGCCCATTTGGAACAGTTTAACCATTTTAAGCTAGTCTTCAAGAGGCCACTGTATTTATGTCTTTTGGAATTTCCCATGAATGGAATATTTCTCTGATTTGATATATGCTTTCAGGTTTTGGTTTGTAAAGCAACCCAGACCATGACCCATAGGAACCAAGGATATGTACCTAAGTCTCCAAACAAGCGAAGGGGCTCTTCATGGCTGCATGGTGTCTGTCTTCATGAAGTCGAGAGAATGCAGAGATGCAAAGGAGCAGAGAGGTTCTCTTAAGAAAACTGTGTTTGCTTTTGGGTTTTTCAAACTGACAGGTGTTTATTTTTCCCGTCTACCTAGGAAACCAAGTGCTGCCTCCTGGAGCTGCTCTTGGAAATGGGCTTACACCAGACGCGGCAAAGGACCTTGGCCTTCCGGCTGGGATTGCAGTGGCAGCCTCGCTTATTGATGCCCACGCGGGAGGACTAGGTAATCTCTTACTTCATGTTCACAGCCAACTCTCTGTTCAAATGGAATATTTCCCAGAAGCTTTGACCCTCCTTTCCTGTTTTTAAAGCAGAGATAGAAGGCTGATAATTCAAGATACAATAATGAAAAGCCTTTTACAGCTAGGCATTTGGATAGAATTGAAGAACCTTTTATCAAATGTGGAATTTATTTAGAATTTATTATTTTTTTAATATAGATAACAAAAAAATTGATCTGAATAAATATTTGGGTGGTTAAATATCTTAATCAAAGGAACTCTGAAGTATATGCTAGTCCATACTTCATATTACAGCCAAGAGTTATCCTCCAAATGCTTACATCAAGTTATGTTCCCAGAACTCTGTCCATGCATTTATACCTACATGTCTTTTCCCTGTATTTCCCTGTATTTATCTTCCACTCCTCCTGTTGGCCATGTCCTACTCTAACTTGAAGACTCATGTCAAAGCCTTCTTCTGCATAGCCTTCCATGGAACGCTCAGGTTTATTTAGAAGTTCCTTAAGTTGTACTTCTTCCAGCACTTTTACCTACCCTATTGAAGAAATGACCACACTGTGTTGTAACAACTGATTTATCTGCTTGTCTTTTCTATTAGACTATGAGCTCCTTGAGAGCACTATATTCTTCTTCTTGTGTCACCTGTGCTGAGCCTTGTGCCTCATTCCTATAGGTGCTTGATAAATTTATTAAGTGAATAAGTCACATTAAGGCAAGAATAGGGTAAAATTGCCTTAGCCCGTAGAGTGCAAATTCATGTTTCCTTATGTGACTGAATATTAAGCAGTGTCTAGTTCTACGTAGTCCATAGACTTTCAGAACAGGGTAGCACTCATTGATCTATGAATGTGTCTGCCTAGTTCATTTTTATGTGTTCAGGATCTAATACAGTGCCTGAAAAGTAGTAAACAACCAACAGTACATGTGCATTAATTAAATGGTAGAATTAGTGAGAATATGCAAGGATGTTGCTCTCCCTTTTCATTATGAGTAGGGTGTGTTTTTTATTGTAATGGCATGATTTTGATTAAGAACAGGAGCAACTTGTGGTCTATGTAGACATGAAGTGTTCCTGTCCTCTTACAGTGCTGATATTCCATGTAATGTTGGAGGCCCGGGAAGCTTTCTCCTCCATGCTTCCTCAGTTATCCCTGGGACAACAGTCTCAGCCATGTACCCCACCCAGGTGACAGGCACTTGGCTTGGACCAGGGCATGCTGAAAGAAAGAGGGCTGTCCTTGGAGAAGCTCCAGGACTCTGGGTTCTTGTCACTTTTCCAGACCTCACTTCACTTTTTCCCATGCCTTTTCACTTCTGCCCAGGAATTGGTGTGCTCTCCAGTGGCGGGGGTGGGGTGGGGGAGGGCTCCCCGAGTGCACCTGGTACTTGTAGACACTCAGAGTGTAGGTTGAGCTGCACTGGGAGGAATTCAGACCATTATACCATTGACCCCTCTCTTTTCCTAAATCAGATATGTTCTGTGACAGAGATTTGACCCTTATAAGTTTGGGCTGAGGCCTTTTGTTCCCTTTAAAATACAAATGCTCTTAAGCTAGTGAGTTTCACTTGTGTTTTCCAAAAGTAAATTCTCTATGTAGAAAGATAAAATAAGGCCCTTGTTTTCTTACTGGGTTGAGGGTAGGGGCCAGCACTGGCTTGGAGGGACACTCAGCAGCTGTGAGACAGTGAAGATCTTAACAATTTGGCCCTATTTTTATCCTTACACTTTTTTATACCTCCTCCTCTCCTCTTCACCTTACAGCCAAGATGACTGGGATGTCTGGGAAAGACAGGAGGCCTGGGGGCTAACGTTCCATCATTTCCCAGCCTGCCTATGCCCTATCAGGATGTGGAGGAGAATATAGGCCTAAAAGTCTTGAAAAGATCATTCACCTGTCCAACCATGTAGTGACCAAAGATATATACTGAGTGCTTGCAAATCTGGCAGGTCCTAGTCTCAGCACTTGGGATTAGAGCAGTGAACAAAACAGAGCCTCATTCCTCTGGAAATAAATTTCTGGTGGTTCTCTCATGGGCTACACTTTTGTAACTTAACAGTATTAGTTTGAGACAACTAACCCCTAAGACATATATGATGCTATAATAAGGGCTCTGAACATGGAGTCTAAAGCTCTGGATTTAATTCATTTTCTTCCTACTTGTGTACCTTGGGGCCAGATATCAGGTTTCTTCATGCTTTCGTTTCTTCCGCTATAGTAAGAGATCGCGGTGCTCTCTTCACAGCATAGTTATGAGAACTGATGATGTAAATAGAGATAAAGCAGGTGCAGACTGTTTGGCATGTAGTACTGCATCATAATGAGTCATCTCTCTTTGATTTTCTGACTCTGGAATCACAATGCCTGATACAAAGTGGGCTTTATAAAAATGGAAGTTCTCTGAGTTACTGTCCTGGTAAGAAATATAGCAGGAGAACTATCTTCCCTTTGGAAAAGAACCTCAGGTCTCTGGACTCCATCTGCCTTCCCTGAATCTGCCCTCATCCCACTTCCCTGGAGCTCTGTAACAACGCAGGACTCACTGCTTTAAGATTTTCTATGGGTTGAGGTCAGAAACAGCCTTAAGAAATGGTTAGATGAGCTCCATGCTGAGAGGTTGCTGAATGTCAGGCTAGGAACCCAGCTCTGAAGGCCGGAATTGGGTGCCATTGAGATTGGGCACAAACAAGCCCTGACAGGTATGGCCCCTTTAGGTGCTGACCCAGCATGACCTGCCTTGGACCCCACATTCTGACTAGTAGGAGGGGGAGCACTTTGCTTGGAGGGATCCTCCTGGACTCATTCTCCAGGGGTGTCTGGGAAGAGAGGATAAAGATCAAAGAGGCAAGTAAAATTCAGGTCATGTTTTTTCCCGTTCTGGAAAAAGAGGAGGAAGGTTTTGTGGGAATAAAAATCAAAGATAAGAGCACATTTTGTTCTTAAGGTGCCGGTTACTAAGTTCTCCAGCAGACAGCCAGAAGATAGGAGTAGCTTTGTTTGCTCTTTGTGGGGGTGGTTCTGGCCAGGGCTCCTGCTGCTGATATTTTTCTAGCTTACAGAAATAGTATTAACTTTGTTCCAGCATCCCAGCTGCCCGAAAGGCAATGACAACCTGACTTTTGCCTCAGCCCCCGTTCCTCTTAGTTCTTCCTGTCCCTCAGATTCCTGGTTCTCCAGCACATCTTGAATCCAGAGCCGTCTCCTCTGTGAGTCTTCCCTGACTCCCCCAAGCTGACCTAAGTACTGCTTCCTCTTGCATCCCACCTGTCTTGGACTTGCCTCCATCACTGTTCACATCACCCAGTTTTGTGTCTAGAACTTTGTCTCATTTACTAATTTGTAAACTCTCAAAAGAAAGCACCATGTCATTTCATCCTTATATGCCAGCAACAAGCACAGTGCTTTGCTGCATAAGGCATGCATGTTTCATAAATGAGTGAATGAATGGCCTTCTCTCCACAAGGGATGGATATTAATAGTTGTGGGATACGTAACGTCCATTGCAGAGGTAGCTGGCTCCGCACAGTAGGTATACCTGGCTCAGCTCTCCATGAGACAAAGGGGTTTGGTTTGAGCACTTCCTGATCCCCTTGTAGTTGCCTGGAAATTGGTGTCCTTTGTGCTCCCACCATGTGCTCCCACCATGTTAGCAGGTGTTGGGCAAGAGGGGCAAATAAAATTCTTGTGTGCCTAGGTTTAGCATCACTCTTTGATTCCAGACTTAGATTCTTTGCCAGATGTTAAATTGGGTTAAATTGTTCATCTGAGTTGCAGAGTCAAACCAAAATGAGGATTTTGAATTTTTCTTTCTTGTTCTTCTACCCTCCTCCCTCTCTCCATTCCCTCTCACTTCCTCTCTCTCCTTTCTTCTTTCTTTTCTTTCTTTTACTAGCAGAATAATTAGTTTAGCCAGTCTTAGCAAAAGAGCTTCTGGTCCATGCCATGCCCGTCAAGAGCAAAACATAGTTTATTCCAGTGAACAATAAAACTCGTCAACTTCTTACCTCACTACTATCAGTAGTTTAGAAGCAACACTGATTCCCAAAGCAACTTTATACATGTTATTATTTTGTTCCATTTATCAAATGGAACAGTGAGGCTTACAAAGGCTACATAATCTGACCAAGTCACACAGTTAGTAAGTGGGAAATGCATGATTTAAACCCATGCCATCTGATAACAGAGCTCTCACTTCTAATCACTCTGCTGTATGAAGTGACATAGCTACTCAAATGTGATCCAGTCTACTCTTGAGTTTGACCCCTACAATATCATTTGAGCAAGTACAAAATGTTAAAAATAAATGGTCTTTCCATAAATATTGATGACTCACTTTAATAGTTGATGGGATTATAAGGTGAATATGAGAGAAACTGGACTTCTGGGAATTTGTAATCTAGTAGAGAAAATAAACATTAACTAAACAAATACAATTGTAAGTGTGGAGAGCTTCATAAAAACCCAGAATATGCCCAAAATTGAGACGAATAATTACAAAAAGATTTCTAGAGGAAGTAATATCTAGTAATACAGTTGCAACATTTCTTGCTTTATTATTGCTTCTTGGTAAGGTGGGATTTACTTACTCATTGTAACTTTAAACTTCAATTAGGCTTTATCCCTAATAATGATAACAACACCAACATCATTGATAAAAACATGTATTAGAACCACTTCTCTTAAGGGTACTACTACTATTTTGATCATTCTTGCTTTCCTGCCATGTGCCAAGTACTCTGACACTTTACATACTTTGCCTCTTGCTTCTTCTAGGTAGAAGTTATTTCCCAAGGCAGAAAGTGTACCATTTCATAATCACATAACTAGTGTCATGGTAAGATCTGAACTTGAGTTTGACTCCAGGTCATGTTCTTTCTCTTATTATATATGTGGTTCTCAACCAGGGGCGATCTTTAACCCTACCCCCAGCCCAGGGGACATTTGGCCTTATCTGGAGAAAAATTTTGATTGGCTGGGGAAGG